ACATATATACAAACATTTTGGTAACACATTTTAAAGTATGGCCTTTCACTCTTCCACTCGTCCCTATTTATTTCAGTGTTGTTCTTTGACTGATCTACTCACCCCTATTTATTTCAGTGTGCCCTTTGACTCTTCTACTCACCTCTATTTTAATTTCAGTGTTGCCCTTTGACTCATTTACTCACCCCTATTTATTTCAGTGTGCCCTTTGACTCATCTACTCACCCCTATTTATTTCAGTGTTGCCCTTTGACTCATTTGCTCACCCCTATTTATTTCAGTGTTCCCTTTGACTCATTTACTCACCCCTATTTATTTCAGTGTGCCCTTTGACTCATTTGCTCACCCCTATTTATTTCAGTGTTCCCTTTGACTCATTTACTCGCCCCTATATATTTCAGTGTGCCCTGACTCATTTACTCACCCCTATTTATTTCAGTGTTGCCCTTTGACTCATTTACTCACCCCTATTCATTTCAGTGTTGCCCTTTGACTCATCTACTCACCCCTATTTATTTCAGTGTGCCCTTTGACTCATTTGCTCACCCCTATTTATTTCAGTGTTCCCTTTGACTCATTTGCTCACCCCTATTTATTTCAGTGTTCCCTTTGACTCATTTACTCGCCCCTATTTATTTCAGTGTGCCCTTTGACTCATTTACTCACCCCTATTTATTTCAGTGTTGCCCTTTGACTCATTTACTCACCCCTATTTATTTCAGTGTTGCCCTTTGACTCATTTACTCACCCCTATTCATTTCAGTGTTGCCCTTTGACTCATCTACTCACCCCTATTTATTTCAGTGTGCCCTGACTCATTTACTCACCCCTATTTATTTCAGTGTGCCCTTTGACTCATTTACTCACCCCTATTTATTTCAGTGTGCCCTGACTCGTTTGCTCACCCCAATTTATTTCAGTGTTGCCCTTTGACTCATTTACTCAGCCCTATTTTAATTTCAGTGTTGCCCTTTGACTCATTTACTCACCCCTATTTATTTCAGTGTGCCCTGACTCATTTACTCACCCCTATTTATTTCAGTGTTGCCCTTTGACTCATTTACTCAGCCCTATTTTAATTTCAGTGCGCCCTTTGACTCATCTACTCACCCCTATTTATTTCAGTGTGCCCTGACTCATTTGCTCACCCCTATTTATTTCAGTGTGCCCTGACTCATTTACTCACCCCTATTTATTTCAGTGTGCCCTGACTCAATTACTCACCCCTATTTATTTCAGTGTGCCCTTTGACTCATCTACTCACCCCTATTTATTTCAGTGTTGCCCTTTGACTCATTTACTCACCCCTATTTATTTCAGTGTGCCCTGACTCATTTACTCAACCCTATTTATTTCAGTGTTGCCCTTTGACTCATCTACTCACCCCTATTTTAATTTCAGTGTGCCCTGACTCATTTACTCACCCCTATTTATTTCAGTGTGCCCTTTGACTCATTTACTCACCCCTATTTATTTCAGTGTGCCCTTTGACTCATCTACTCACCCCTATTTATTTCAGTGTTGCCCTTTGACTCATCTACTCACCCCTATTTATTTCAGTGTTGCCCTTTGACTCATCTACTCACCCCTATTTATTTCAGTGTTGCCCTTTGACTCATTTACTCACCCCTATTTATTTCAGTGTTGCCCTTTGACTCATCTACTCACCCCTATTTATTTCAGTGTTGCCCTTTGACTCATCTACTCACGACTATTTTTATTTCAGTGTTGCCCTTTGACTCACCCCTATTTATTTCAGTGTGCCCTTTGACTCATTTACTCACCCCTATTTATTTCAGTGTTCCCTTTGACTCATCTACTCACCCCTATTTATTTCAGTGTGCCCTGACTCATTTGCTCACCCCTATTTATTTCAGTGTTGCCCTTTGACTCATTTACTCAGCCCTATTTATTTCAGTGTGCCCTGACTCATTTACTCACCCCTATTTATTTCAGTGTTGCCCTTTGACTCATTTGCTCACCCCTATTTATTTCAGTGTGCCCTGACTCATCTACTCACCCCTATTTATTTCAGTGTGCCCTGACTCATTTGCTCACCCCTATTTATTTCAGTGTGCCCTGACTCATCTACTCACCCCTATTTATTTCAGTGTGCCCTTTGACTCATCTACTCACCCCTGTTTATTTCAGTGTTGCCCTTTGACTCATCTACTCACCCCTATTTATTTCAGTGTGCCCTGACTCATCTACTCACCCCTATTTATTTCAGTGTTGCCCTTTGACTCATTTACTCACCCCTATTTATTTCAGTGTGCCCTGACTCGTTTGCTCACCCCTATTTATTTCAGTGTTGCCCTTTGACTCATTTACTCAGCCCTATTTTAATTTCAGTGTTGCCCTTTGACTCATTTACTCACCCATATTTATTTCAGTGTGCCCTGACTCGTTTGCTCACCCCTATTTATTTCAGTGTTGCCCTTTGACTCATTTACTCAGCCCTATTTTAATTTCAGTGTTGCCCTTTGACTCATTTACTCACCCCTATTTATTTCAGTGTTGCCCTTTGACTCATTTACTCAGCCCTATTTTAATTTCAGTGTGCCCTTTGACTCATCTACTCACCCCTATTTATTTCAGTGTGCCCTGACTCATTTGCTCACCCCTATTTATTTCAGTGTGCCCTGACTCATTTACTCACCCCTATTTATTTCAGTGTTGCCCTTTGACTCATTTACTCACCCCTATTTATTTCAGTGTTGCCCTTTGACTCATCTACTCACCCCTATTTATTTCAGTGTGGTCCTTTGACTCTTCTACTCA